GTCCTGTAGATTAAGGTTGAATACTGAGATTTTACATTTATTCTGTTTAAATCTTATACGTAGACTGGTGTTTACCCAAAGTTAGTTTATGTATTTGTACATTTGTTATATTTTTGGGACGTTTGGGATAATAATCATTCAGGGTGACCTAACCTGCTTTTTAGTGATCCATAATTTCATCAGCAGTATATTCATCTACAAAGTGCTTTTGGCCACAGAGGGTTTACAGTACAGTCATTGCACACTGGAAAGTAAGGGCTTTCTTCTGTCTGCAGATCCCGCATTCACATTCAGCATCCACCTTGCTTCAACAGGGACCATGAAACCACACGGAAACCACAACAGCAGCTTCCTCCCTCCAGCATAAAGCTTGTTGTGGTTAGCTGCCAAGCTGAAGCTCAAAACAGTGTCCCATCAGAAATTCTATTTAAGTCTCTTTTTCCTCCCCCACAGTGCAAAGCATATTTAAATCACTTAGACGTGCTCCTCCAAGTCTCTAGCGACACGTGCAGGACTCTGCCACCATGTCGTCCAGCTCCTTGTACTCCACCTTCTTCTTTTGCACGACCAGCACGCTCATGGGCATGTACTTGTAGGGCACGCAGGACGGAGGAGGGACGTCCCCGACGCCCAGGTCATTGATGAGTGTCTGGATTATGGCATGGTTGGGGGAATGGTAGCCATAGTGGAGCACCCTCGGGCAGTCGCCCTGGCAGAACCGAGGGTTGTAGACGGGCGGGGCGATAAAGTAGTGGCCCCAGCCGAGTTCATCGAAAGACAGGCGGAAAGAGTGGAGCTTGCATCGGTTTTTGGGTGTGTTGGTTTTGTGTTTGTAGCTGGGGATATCAGAGACGATCAAGGATGAGGTGGGGGTGGAGAAAGATGAAGAGGAAGTGGGGGCATTCTTTAGTGCGTCAAGTGAAGGATCCTGAGGCTCTGAAGAATCTTTGGAGCGACGGCGGCGGTGAAGCGAAAAATGCCACTGCCCAATTTGCCTCATGATGCCTTCCCCTTCCGTGCCAAGCAGTTCTCCCATCCAGTCCTTCACCTCCCTCTCCTCCTCCAGGTACAGAAGAAGAGAGGGAACTTCGAGGTGAGGTTCACCGATCCAGCGTGTCCTCCCTCGAGACAGAATCCTCCACCACCGCAGGAGGCCGTTGCTCTCTTCAGCTAGCTCAGGTTCTGTGCACCAGTACTGGGCAGTGAGGGTCAAGTGCCTCCCCCGGCCTCGATCCTTCCCACGCAGGACGTGGCTGCTGATGTGTGCAGTGATGTCCGTCTCCGTCCACCGCTCGTGAGGCTCCAAGGTGACCAGACTCTCTGCACCCAGCGCGGTGATCTGAGCCCTGCAGCGGGGCGGCTGGACGGCCTGTTCGCTGCTCAAGTTTGTGGAGGAAGAAGAGGGCGGAGAAGAGCGAAGGTGAACAAAAGAAGCTCTCACCAGTCGCTCTGAGGGGAGGGTGTCGAGGTTGTACTGCACCGTGAAGGTGTAGCAGTGGTCTGAAGAAAAGGAGGAGGAGACAAAGTCAATAAATCAGCATCAGTCATATCGATCCCTCACTGACTGCTTCAAGTCCTTTGAGCAAAGCAGAGCCAACATTAATATATGTAAAAGTTGTTGTGCAGTACAAAATAATGTAGCGTTTAAGTTTCAGGTTCACAAGTTCTTAAAGAGATTTTTACAAAATGTACTTAAATGCGTCCTGAAGATGTTCCAGCTGCTGAAACACCTTAAATATCACTTAAATATCTTTATAGTAAAAATGTCTGTCAGAAAAATGTTTGTGTGAGCCCCCCCACCCCCACCCCCTTAATCATTGAACCCAATTAACTCTGCTTTATATAAAACATGGGTGTAGTGACAATTCTGTTCAGTCAAACTTCTTTTTTGCAGCCCCTGCTGACCACTAGGAAGATTTAAGACTCTTCTGTAGTCCAGTTCACCCTGGACTGATCACCAAGCTTTCATAGCCTA